GGGATTATTTCGCGTGATTAGCTCCCGATGCGATGGAGTGACATGAACAACGTCTCTCGTGAGAGAAGGGATGACCTCTTCCAAAAAATTCCTATCTCCAGTCACATTATCAGTGTATGCAATTTGGGGCATATCTGAGTTAAACTTGCGGTAGCTGTCCATCATGTTTTGAAAGGAAGGTCTAAGACAGTTATGACTTTTGGAAGGTACAAGCAGTTGCATACGTATTTCTCCATATTCATTCAATACCGTAAATAGGCCAGCAAACGTGGAAACACCGTTAACTTTACCCATGTGTTTTATTATCTTAAAGCTGTGATCTAATTTCAAGATAATACCACCAAGTTGAGAGGTATGTTGATCGATAAAATGTCGGTACTCGGCAACCAAAGAGCTATAAACATAACTCAAATAATTTGAGGACGGAATGTATCCATTGTACTTTGCTTTGTCGAAAAAATCGGAAAACTGTTCAAAGTTTTGAGGGATATTTCTTTTAAATAGCTGAGAAGCTACATTCGGTTTGTAGTCGTTGATTCCATTATAATAGACAAACTGGAGTTCATCAAATCTCTGAGTGTGCATAATACGAAGTATCTTGCTGAGTCTATGTGGACCAACACCATGCTGAAAAAGAGGACGCATTGTATTAGACAGATCCTTAGAAATTCCAGATTTGTGTGTCAGAATGGCAGGAAAAGCTCTTTGATGTCCTGGGTTCAGTTGCTTGATGATAGATTGATTGTAACCACTAAATGTTTTTTTACAATTTTTGTTCATGCATCTATAATTCATGCTCATCAGATAAAAGAAACTAAAGATAATCACAAAGTTAATATCAAAATTTGGGAACTATAATCAGAAAAACTTGAATAGTTGCAAAATTACTTACTCAAACAGGTCAATAATTCTTCTGGCCTTAGTCTTTTTTGCAAATTCTTTCCTCTCCAGGTTAGCCAATTTACAGGTAGGACATTTCAGATGCTTTTTTCCTTCCCCATTAGTCCCACGACCATTCAAAAGGTCAGGGAGCCAAATAAAAACTCGTGGTCGATAAAATATGTCAGGACTTGTTCTGGTGTCATAATCAAATCCTTCGTACTCAACATCTACCCAGTAGGTTTTTCGTTGATATTCAACTGGTGTTACCCCTCCTTTAAGCCTGTTTTGGATTTCAGCAAGATATTTTCCAATAAAACTATCTTCTGGTGTACTGTCACCAATTTCCTCGTCAACAATCTCAAAGTCCTCTTCTGTAAACTCTTCTTCAGTAGCAGCATCAGCATTAGCATCACCAACATTTGTTACATTATCATCAAATTCTTCTTCATCACTTTCAGTGCCTTCAATACTATTCATTTCAGCTTCTACCGCGCTTAAATTATTATCATTCTACCCTTACTGTAAATACTTTATCATATATGCATATTAACGTATGGGATTATATACATTACCTCTTCCTCAGAGATAATTTCCATCTCTGTATTCTGAATGTCTTCTATCACAGGACTATTTAAGTTTCCATCAACATTGCTACTAGAGAGCGAGGTAGCTGGCTGCTCTTCTTCTCTACGCGACCCTGTTTGAAATACTGACATCCTATCAAGTCTTTGTTGACTTAAATTTGGTTGACTCATCACACGCTTAGGACCTGGACGTGATGCATGAGGATCTCTTTTTGAGCCTGGTTTAGGTCCAGGTTTTTTCTTGGAAGCGCCATCATTTTGGTTAGAAGAACTACCGCCAAACATTGTAATTATTTTTAAGGATAAGTAGAAAACGAGTTTGAAAAGAATGTCAAGATTTATATATGTGTTTTTGCTGTCAAAATGTTTATTTGTTTATAAGAGAATTTAAAAGCTAAAATTAAAAAAGAATTTCAGGGTGTAGCAACATTTTAAACTGCGTACAGTGTAAGATGTCGAATTTCCTTTTTGGTTTACAGTGGTTCTGGCCTTCTGGTTGGCTCCCTTACAGCGGTTCCGGCCTTCTTATTGGCTCTGTTACAGCGGTTCCGGGAATATTATTGGCTAAAAAGCCCCTTACTACAAGCGTACCGCCTACGTAGAAAAAAAAGACGTAGGTGTAGACATTCTCTGAATTTTACACGCTAAGGGAAAAATGGTAACGCCAAAATTATGAATAAATCTGAAATTAACACTTGTTGAGTAATTTACCAACGTTGTTGGCCAGCAACAACTCTTTTTTATATAAAAAAGAATGGTCAACAAAGCTTTTTACAACAAACAACAAATCTGCCATAGTGATACTCACTATGGCGGAAATAATGGTAACTATCTGCCATTTACTTCACAAAACTGCCATTTTTTTGGCGTGCAAAAGTGGCAGATATGATATTCTATAATAACAAAAGAGGCACAGCTGCCATATTTTTGGCTGGCAAAAATGGCACCTTTAACAGTTGAATGAAGCCAAGAGGTTCACTGCTGCTGTTTTTTGGTTTTAAAAAATGGCATCTATTTTAGTTTGTTGAAGACAAATCATTCACAGCTTCCATTTTCCTGGCTTGTAAAAGTGGCAGTTATGATATTCTATAATAACAAAACGTTCACAGTTGCCATTTTTTTTAAACGGACAAACCCTTAACCTTTCTTTTAGACCCATTCTTTTATATTTGGCAGGCTGACATTTTCTTATTCATTGTTATTATTCGCAGTAAAGCACGTTTTATTGGACTGTTTATTTATATTTCAGTGGTGTATAGGAGGGTTTGATATAACTTAAACCTTTTTATTTAGGTTTGTAGTTGTATACATGGCAATAAGATATACGATTATAATGCTTGGATGTTACTTTAGCTTACCTTTGACTCTCTTAACACTCTATAAAGGTATTTTTAGAAAATAGTAATACTGTAATTAATTCTGCATTTTATTACCAGCCTTTTGTTCTGATGTCGATGATTATTTGACCGGCAGTGTTCCTAAAATGTCGTCGTTTGAGTGGAAGGTACACAGAATAAATAGTCTATATGTAAGCAGTATGATATCAATAAGAATAAAACATAACCTTTTAAAGACTATTTACCCGTAAAGATAGAACCGTCTATTGACGAGGACCATTATCTATGGAAAATGGTTATATTATACAGACGTACTTTAGTTTGATCAAAATAACAAAAATAGGCTAAATTTTATCTAAAAAAAACCCTTTAGTTTATTATACAGATTACATGTCGTTGCTTCAATCATTGCAAACATACCCAATTCCAACATATTTGTTCACACTTTCCGTTATTTTGAAGGGGCTATATACCCTTACCATCATTATTTGAAGGCTATTTATTTTAAAAGATAAATAAAAGTAAAAGAAAGAGAGAAAAAATTGTAAGTTAAAAGAGCGCTAAAATACACACTAATAAAGAAGCTAAAAACCAGAATGGACCTATCATGTCGACCAGACACGACTATTATCTTCTTCTGGTTCTTTTACGTGAAGGTTCATTCGCTACCTCTGGTGGAGGAGAACTGTATAAAAAATATTTATCGCATATGAGTATACATATATCATGCATGAAAAACAATAAAAAAAACTTACAGCACGTCCGCTATGATGGGGGACTCATCGCGACCCATATCTTCGAAAGCGTCATTGATAGAGTCTGAACTATCGGGATCTTGTTGATTCTACATTTGTATACTTTGTTATTGATATTTATGTAACAAACCGCTAAAGAACCTTTTACTGTTATCCTTCTTCTGTGTGTTTGGTTGTCACTTTTAAAGCTCTCCCTTAACAAGCTTTTAGCACACCACATTCTCTTACACTGGTAAATTTTGAATCCCTTGTCATTCGCAAGTTTTTCCAGGCGCAATATCTTTTTTTTTTAAAAAAAAATAAGTAAAAAAATGGCAACTTGTTACCATTTGCTTCACAAGCGCAAAAAATCATTTTTTATACCGTAACCCATCAAATTCGGATCAATATTGCATCGATTTTTTGGCATATAGCAATCTAATTTTAACTTTGAGATAGTTTCTATAACATCTAAACTACATATTGACGGCTTCAGAAATGTTTTTGAAGCTTTTTTGTTTTTTATGATATTATGATCATTTGTATCAATCTTTTGCTCGAATCTTATTGGCTGGGGATATTGAGCAAATAAAAAAAATGGCAGTTATGTTGCCATTTAATTCACAGCTGCTGTTATGTCCGCCATAGTGACTACCGATTTATTACACCTTCTTCTTTCTTTTGTTTGTCTTTGCCATCTTTGGTTTTGGTTTTGGTCGTGCCCGCTTTCTGAATGAAATGTGGATGACTGTATCGGCTGTAATCGCACCCAATATAGTGTGGATAACTGTCCTTCTTACTGGTGGTTTTACCACTGGAAATGTTCCAACACGACTTCAGGCAAAGCTTCCCTAATATTGGTATAAAAACCACTCTTGTCTTTAAAGACGCATCATTTGGTAAAGTCTATATTACAACCTTTCCAATCCATTAACCATATGTACCGCTCTTCGATATTTTCTAAACTGTTCTTTTTTTGGGATTCCAAGCGTGCAATGCTAACCTAAAGGCTACAGGTCGTCTTCGTATGGTAGTAGACATGGATCATACCCAAAGACAAATTCTTGAACTTTGCAGCCAAATCATCAACAACCTCGGCTACTGTAACATGCGGTTCCTAAACAACCAGTTTTTGAACATGTTGTTTTATAAGAATGATGAAAAACTATGTATGTTTTACCAAACCAATGATTAAACACTGTCTAAACTTCCATCCGCCCTTCAGTTAAAATAAAATTGGCTTGGTATCAATTATTTTAAGGGTCTCCTGATGACTTTTTCCACGTATCCCTCAATACACCATCGATACGTCCTTACAATTGACAGAAATGACAAGAATGATATTATTATAGACACTGCAGTATTAATCAACATTTGAGATTTAGGGTGCTTCAATTAGTCTTGAGTGGTCCATAAACAATTATATTTTATTTATTTTCAAATTAATTACAATTAATAATTTAAGCAATAGGACCATTCATTTGTTATTAACAGGTAGATTCAAGTGCACATAATCGATGCCTGTCTTAACTCGCGTGGATCAAACTAAAAATGGTTGGGTGAGCTGGTCGGCGCATCGAATCCCATTGAATCATCATTCACTGACTTACAGTGACGCCAAAACACATCTGATACCATAAGCAACGTGCGAATGTTTTTCAAACTGAGAAAAACGGCCAAATATTGTAACGACGCAGGAAATGCAACACGATCAATTTCTTGCATAATGTAAATACCATCATGTTGTAAGCGCATCAAATAAAAGATGATGGTGAAGCCATTGATGTGGAAAACCCCTTAAGCCCACAGCAAAGTTGTTATGAAGCTCCTTTAGCAATCCTACAAATTTTTCTTACGGATATGTAAACCCAGTCGAGTTGTAATAACTTGAAAGATGCCTGCAATTTATTCATATCAACCGTGTCTTTGCTGAAGATTCCGAGACGAAGGAGATCAAGACAGAGAGCGTGGTTGTCAGTTGTAGGGTTCGCCACTTTAACCTCTCCAAATCCAAGACTAGGACCGAAATCTCTTTGCTGTATTTTTGATATTGTTCAATCAGGGCGCTTGTCCGCAGTTTCATCACAAGTTACATTGGACCATCGTAAAATAATATTTTTATCAGGGTCCGTAAAGAGTGCAGACAGAAGTGGTATTCCTGGCGCTGCAAGTTTTGTTTATTTCACCAGGTTTTGGTCATTTTTTTTTTCTTTTTTTCTTAATATGCTTACCTAGCCCTCCTTTTTGCAAAAGCAAGCCTTTCTTGCTCAGATCTCGAAGATCTCAACGTCAATCTTGACTCATCACCACCATTAGCAACATTGTCAACAATTACCGCCTTTCAGCAACACCGCCACCAAGCATTGAATGCACCACCAGAATTGGTGAATAGTTCGCATTCCCCGAATGATTTCTTGTTGTTTATGGGCAACAGCGGCAGCTTACGCATACTATTAAAACATTGTCAGTTTTATTCTTCACAATATAAAACTTCAATCCCACTTTTCAAAGTGACTTACCATGCTTTTATTCCCAAGATGAATGTGTCATGATCCTGTAACATCTTATGCCCCAAATATACTTTATGAGTAACCAGCGTTCAGACTCAATATTCATCATTGATCTGTCAGCTCTTTAAATTCTTTGCCATGATTCACATAAGCTATGACCACCTTTTGTCATTGATTATGCTTTTATTCAATTTCTTGTTTTCTTTCTCTATAAATATGGCTGATAAATTTCACTTTTTCAGTTTTTTTTATCAGATATATTTTATAATCATCTTCTTTTTTCTTTTACCTTTCTATTTTTAAATAAATAACCTTCTTACAAGAAGCTATTCATTCTCTGACCTGTCCTGCCTATCTCGTTCCTCCTCCGTCAGGAACGTGGCTAGGAACATATTATAGCAATGATATCAGAAGATACGTACTAGTTAGACAAAGACAAAGGAAGGGTGGTTTAAAAAGTATTTAATATTAATAATAGACTATTTAAGGAAGGGAAAGGAATACAAGATAATCAACATGGAACGGGGAAGGCGAGGGAAAGTGGGAGTATTTATATCTTTTCAGATAACATTGGTTTGCATTTAAGAATGTCTTGGCTTACTTAATTAGTCCTAGTGTTGGTTTCACCTTACGTGGCCGAAACCCACGCGTCATGATTACTAATTACTTGGCGTCGGAGATACTTGGAAACGCGTTATGATTGCTAATCTTTGGAAGCGGTGGGTCATTGCATGGATAGTCTTGGAAGGTCCTGGAAAGTTCTGGACACTGGTGTTGTTGAATCTCAGCATGAGATCCCAGAACTTTCCATTAGACGGGGATACATGGTCAGGGGCAAAGTGCAAAGTACGAGGTTCATGACATCCAGGTTCCTGACAGAATAATTTTTGAATTGGACAAAAGTCTTTTCCGAGCATTAATAATTCGATTTCTGCATCGTCTTTACTTTGTTCTTTGCTTTCAACATTGTTCACAATTCGACTTAACTTGGTGAACACATCATTACTGATGTCTTGCCTTGAGTCCAAACACTCTTTCAAAAGATATCTATCCAAATCATATAAAGTCTCTTCCGTAAAAATGTCAACCACGAGCTTGCTGTGTTGCTCCGATGCCAAGAGGAGGATATTCGACAGACTCAGAAGCTCATGGATGGATGATTCGATGAGAAACAAATGATCGTTAGATATTTGACTCTCTTAAGGTAGCCAAATACCTCGTCATCTAATTAGTGACGCCCATGAATGGATTAACGAGATTCCCACTGTCCCTATCTACTATCTAGCGAAACCACAGCCAAGGTGACACGGCCTGCTTGAATTTTGTAAATGAAAGAGCAATATCTACCCCCTTAAAAAGCCACGGAGCAAGGACAGGGGAATTAATAGGCGATAGTGGTATCGATCTATTGTCGGTATTGGTGCTTGGTACTGGATTGACGAGTGACAGTGAGGATGGAAAAGTAGAATTACTACTGCTTGGTTCAGTTCTTGACGTGGAGGTAAGTGCTCCTAACGCGTCTTCTGCACTATTAGATACGTATTGAGCGCATCCCTCCTGAACATCAAGTCGAGTTTTTTTGTTTTTCATATCGATCCAGAACTTCTTGTACTCTTCAGTTTGCCTCCAGGTCATCAATTCTGAAGCTAAACGTTCGCTATGATCACCGAAAATGGCTTTACTAATTATCGAGCTGTCAGGAACGTAGCAGGAAGTATATTATTGCAATAACATCAGAAGATACTCATTACGCGTGGTGGAGAAGCGAGATATTCTCGACTTGTTCCAACCTCACGGAGAGAACCGAACGTTGTTGGTGCTTGTTTGGGAGCAATAGGCCCCAAATAAACAACAGGAAAGTTGTTGATGGTAGTAGTGGTCGACCTGAGGGGAGTTACAAAGGCATTGGGGAATTCTCACACAATGTCATTGTCGATGGGTAAACGTTGGCCTGTACCCCTAAAGCAGAAAACCGAGAAGAAAACCTCAAGTGTTTCTAATAGTAAAAACACAACACTTTATCAACAAAGCAAAAAATAAAGCAGAGGAATCTATTTGTTTAATTGGTACATTAGAAATGGGTAAACACCTTTACTCCAATATTCTCTTTCGTACTTACTCGTCAACGAAAAGCAGCTGAATCATTTTTCACTAATAGTTTCGAAAAGAAAAAAAATACGCTTTTCACAACATAATAAGAAGTGTTTTTTTTTTGGCTCCAGGGGAAAGGGTGACGTAAGTCGACGCTAGACGGTTTACTTATATTCCCGAATTTTCGAGCGGTTTTTAAAAGTAGAGGACTGCTTTGCTTTTGATTTTTAGGCAGAGCGTTTATTATTAACTTTTTTTTGTTATCTTTGTATAGTAAAATTAGAGTTGGAAGGAATGTTTGTAGAATTTATACGAGAGAGAAACCAGTAATTGAAGCTGTTTCATTCTTCGAGTTCAGTTTCGGTCAAAATATTCTGCTGGCGTTTAAGTTTATGAATGTTAGAAAGCAGAGTGTCAAAATCTATTGAAGAATTGCTTGGAGCGGTGAGAGGAGCTTGTTCAGTTGGAGTAAGAAGAGCTGAGCTATCAGGCGAGCTCTGGGGAATGGTTGAGAAAGTGGGGTCGAAAGAAACTATTCGATTTAAGGTTAGTAAAAAAAAAGAATGAAGCCGTAAAGAATTTAATAGTATTTATCTTTGCGTTTAAATACAGAGAAGCAAGACATATCACACTTCAACAAATACATGTGTTTGCATGGGATATTGTTAAAGCGGAAGTCAGGGCAGCTGCAAGTGATCATTTGTAGATCGTCCACCACAACATCATAACTTACACAAGAAGTTGAGAAAGAAGAAATAACATAACCACTTCTACCAGCAGAATCAGTTCTCGCAGTTTCGATGCCATACAGTGTTCTTTACTTCATTTCAAGAGTATTTGTCGTATTTGGGTACGATTTTTATGCATTAGAAAACTAATGCATAAATAATCACCTATAACTATTATGTTCTAATGCCAATAACACTTGACAAACTAGTACGTACCCTCTAACAGTATCCGTTACACGATCTTACAAAGAAGTGTTCCACTGCACTCAGTATCTGTCAGAATGCTCGTGTTCCTATTTCACACATATGGGACAACGTTACCTTTAATCAATTCTAACGAGTAGAAATCGAATAACACAAAATAGAAGACTAAAATATAGATTTAATCCAAAACCAGAACGGTTGACACATCATAAATCCAGGAGATGTTGGCAATATTAAGGGATCGATTATTTCATAGCAGCAGAGTTATTTAGTCTATTTTTACCCTAAAAATAATATTCATTTATCTCATTGTTCTTATACGTGCCATTTTATGAATTACAAATGACCAATTGACGGCGGAATTACAGTATATATAAATATTAGGTAAGACGCAGATACAAAAAAAAGGGAGAGAACCTGGTAGCTGCAACTAATGTAATTTCCTGTATAGTGGTCCCAAAAAATTGGTAGTTTATATCGCAGCAGCTGTAAAGGTAAATAAAAGGCCCATATTTCTGTTTCTAATGCACTATTTAGGTGACTCGGTGGGGGCATGACCAAAATAGCATAAAATACATCAGCACAATGTACGTGATCCATTAAAAATATCCAATAAATTTTTAGATGTTGTATCTTTAACTAGATAGATCAACAGAAAAAAAACAAACTTTAAAATCCTATACGTTCGTAATCTGATTTAAAGATAACGTCACATGGATTAGGGAAGCTAAACATTTAAAATGATTTTCTGAAAAATAACTTGATTTTAATTGTTAAATAATGAAAGACTCCAAGGAAAAAAAAAAACTTTTTATAGAAACCCATTGTACCCTAATTTTATAAATCTGCTTTAACCTCACCATCAATTTTTTTTTAAATCTGTATATCTAGCATAATTGTCAGACTGTGTACAACAAACAAGAATATATCTTTCAAACGCAGGGATTCCAAATTGTTGATATTCCATAGTTTTCATTTTATCATCCGAATCCTCGTCATTTCTTTCTCTTATTTTTTCGTGTATAAATTGGTATTTGTGTTTTAATTCACCTAATCTCAGACTAAGGGAATGTCATACTGATGTAGAAGAAAGAATATAGCTTTTTAGTAAAACGACATAAACTTGATCCCGCAAAAGCTTTCATCCTCTTTGCCAACTCGTTGTGTTTAGATACTGTTATTCATAATTCGCAGGATTCTTTATTTAATTAAAAGCCTAGCGTGAAGCGGGTATAATTTTATCCTTTGCTGGATGAACCGTAACCTTCGAATTTACAAAGTACCAACCTCATCCCTCTAGTTATAATTCTTGTTAAAGAAAAAGAAAGGGGGTCGACAAGCATAAGCCTCATTTTTACAAAGTGTATCTGCAGACACTTCTGTATTTGGTTACACTGACAATGACTCCCATCAAAAGGAAGGTTTCTTTGCTTTTTAAGCAAACGTAAAGTATGCTTTCCACATGCATCTGTCAAAAATGGAATAGAAAAGTAGCAAAAATAAAGTTTGTGCAAGGTGAAAAAAATAAAATAAAAAACGTTTATGTGCGTGGGTAAAAGCCTGTCTATCGCTTTTTCTTTTTTTCTCAGCTCTTCTGTTTCTCAAAATCTGTCTTTTCTGCTTATAATTCCACTTATTTCACAAGAGGCCTTTTTTTTTTGCGTCCACTCAAGACACCTCACGACTTCTGCCTTAACACCTGTAAAAGCACCAGCTAATTTGCGCCCCTTTTGCCTCCTAGATTCTAAGTCAACAATTAACTTTAAACAACTCCTTAAATGATTTTTCAGTAAAAGGTAAAATTCTTTCTTCCTAAATCTTGGCTCAACTTTTGTGACCCGTCTGTGATTTTGAAGAATTCCTCATTCATGATTTAACACAAACGACCACAAGAAAGGATGTAGCAAGTAATCGTCTTCGAAATATGACTGCTGTCTTCATTCGACGCTGCACAGCTTGGAGATGTTGGAATGCGTTTTATTTAGGCTCCATGGCGACAATCGTTCGTGGTGATGGTCTGTATTGAAGGTGGTGCCTGAAGGAGGGGAAGGGAAGTATTGCTGGATCCAAAGCCAGTTAAAAAATATGATATTTGATCCTATTTTTTAAGAGAATGTTTGATCGACATGTGGTAATGATGAGAGCGTCAGGCAGTTTTTGGATGATTTGAGGGCTACTGTCGTCTATTCAAAAAAAGTCATGGGTAGACAGCCTATCCATTCCTGATGCCCCCAGAAACAAATATCCTTAAAGAAAAGTGGCAGTTTATGATGACTTATTTTACACACTTGGTTTGATGAACCTGATGAACGCGGCTCACTATGATTTATCTGGATCACTATATTTGACTTTATCGATTTATCTTTAAAAAGCTCGTGTTTAAATTTGGACATTGTAACGCTGTAGATGGACTTGACAATGGGACAATTGGGACAAAAGTACACGATGACGAAAATCCTCTTGCTGATACTATCGACTTTAAAAGTTACATGGAAGCCATCTGGAACGCTTGAGGCAATGATCAAAGTATATGAAAGGGTTTATTCGATCACATCGGAACAAGTTGCTTATTTACAAGGAAAATGGATACGAGATTCAGAGCCATCATTTTTTCTATTATTCTTATGAAGAGGACCTTAACCCAAAGCATCTTGATGTCGCTTGCCCAACTGGCTAAACATCATCCTTACACATAATTGTCAAAGGTGAGATCACGGTAGATAAGAACAAGGAGGATACTTTGAACGAAATTTTTATTGTATCAATTAGCTTATTCACCATGGCTAAAATTATATAAACTGAAAATAAAATTGGTGAGCTTACTCTTGAGTGCCTCGATAGCAACCTTAGATTGATCACAGGTTAGAAAATATATGCTCGAATCTCATTTATCAGACGCTAACGAAATCAATGCTAGTTCCACTGTCCAAGGTCATAGAGTAAATTATGAATGGCACTTTGCTGATCTTACCGCGTTAAAAAAAAAAGATTAATATGGATTGGACCCAATGCTTAGAGTTTGCAGAAAAAGAGTGATTATTCAAAAGATATATTTAGGTGGATAGCGTCAAAGCTGCTTACTTTCGTGAAAAAAATAAATAAAAAATGTTTTCATTTACCTCATTTTGTTGTTGTTTTAGTCGTCCTCGCAAGCTTTTGTAAATCATGCTTTCTGTTAAATGTGTTGGATATTTTAAAAAGATCTTGATAAGAGATGAAATTGTATGTTTTCGCAAAGGAGAAAAAAATGACATACGTGCATCCTTATGGATTTATTGATAAAAATGCCAAAGGAAACAAGAAAGAAATTGAGGTTGAAGCATCCATGACTATCATAAAGCAAATGCAATTCGTACCAGAAGTAAACTAATTTGACGTTTTCTGGAGGGATGGTGGTGGAAATATCATGTCCAATAAATATACCATAACTTATGAACCGCTCCTTGGTTTCAATATGGTCGTCTAAAAGAATGAACACTCATTAGCAAAATAACTACAAACTAAATTTATAATGCAGCTGTGTGATCTGGTGTGAATTTACATCGTGCCAGATTGTACAAACTAGGGATTTATTTTATACACATTAATAAATGAATTGGAAACTGCAGGTTCGACAATGGCCGTTTATGTCTTGTAGAGTCATAAGTCTGATTATTTTTTTTAACATGAAGACATGTTATTTGAGATTCAGGTATTATTATTTGGCTCTTGGCTTGCACAATCTCATTATTTCGTATTATGACGGAACACAGCCTGAAGGACTTATGTGTGATTTTGCGGATCATCTTAAGCCAAATAAACTAATAAAGGTATGAAAAATGTAATATTTATTGTAAAAAATGAAAGACAGGAAAAGTTTGGTATGGAAAGGGGTGAAGTAAAGAGACCACCAGCCAAGAACCAGAGGAGAAAAGGACAAGCTTCTCTAAAACTTACTCATAAAACTTAACCCCCATTCGCAGGGAATATTAAAGTCGTAACTATGCGAAGACTGCCACTAGAGGATCCTTGCCTACACTAACGGATTGCTGGCCTCCCAAGCCCAGGAGCGCATATCTATCGTAACTACATCTACAAACTTTCGATGGGTCTAGCCACGCTAGATTACTGGCTTATACTGTACCGTGATTAGAATAATATCAGAAGTAGAACAGCTGCCTTAAAGCCTTCGCAATCTAGACCGAGTTAAGATGACATAGCTTTGACACACGTTTGATATATTTGAAGAGCCTTGAAGGGAACGTTTGAAGAGGATTGACGCAATGTGGGAATATTTGACGATGGTTATTGCGTTACAGAGCCTTTGTATTACGTTTAGAGAGACCTGATATGAGGTGCAAGCCTTGGAGAAGGTTATGGAGTTGCAGAGCCTTGGGAATATTTGAAGAAGTTTGTAAAGGCTTGCATATCAAAATGAGCACTAGCTGAAAAGAAATATGAGCGAAAGAAATATACAGACCCTTTGTGTATTTATAGTTAAAATAGATCATATCCTTCACGTGGCTTATATTTTTATTTATGCTGGTTGGAGGCTGAAACGCATGTCTTTATTGTATTGATAGATAGCTTCAGAGATCTCCCGCCAGATACCTATGCATATGTATAGTTCTTACATTTGATTTTCCTATCATTGTTGATCTCCCACCATCTTAGAGACGGGAGTGTACCTTTTTTCTTATCTGAGAACATTCATGCCCTTGAAGTTTATTTACCAAAACGGAACATGGCCTTAAATAATTGCTTGCGAATCACTTTATTTATCCTTTCCGTTCCGTGTAAAAGGGAGACTGATGTGAATGCTCATCCAGGTGTGGCTGCTAAGTCTCAGCTGCCAGGATAAAAAGCACCATCCCCAATATGGTGTAGGGGGTGTTTGGTCCTGTTGATTCTCATGTTGTGTATTGTGGGCAGGCAGCATGAGGATAATCAGGTTCTGTATTGAAGATGGTTTATCGGAAACATATTTAATTTTTGGGCCAGTATGTGCTTCCACCTTTTCGCGGTATGGCTTTCATATGTTGGAAACTAAGAGAAGCACTTTAAATATAGTTTATATCTTAAAAATATACTTTTTTCTTCTTTTTTCCTTTGGCTTTTATAATCGTCTTTAACTACTTTTTGTAAAACTAGTGTCAACGAATTCAGATTAGCTAAACGTAAGCCTCCAGTTGACTATCCCAATGATTTTGAAAAAGTTGTTTTGTAATGACACCCAGGCGACGTAAAGCTGCATTTGGGTATAGGCGTACACTCATTTGCCCTATTATTTAAGAACGCTGAAGAGAGTAACGTCACTTTGTCTATTATACTTATTGACACAAGTTATTTAAATTAATCATCGCCACTGAAGGAGATGCTGATTTTGACCGAGCCGCTAGCGATTGAGACGACTGACGATGCGGGTTTACCAGAAGAGATTATAGATGTATTACAGCAAACAAGAATATGCTTCAACAAAACCTTTGGCTTTAGGAGTTGACTTGAACCTGTTTTGCTCTGGAAATCACGAAGTACTTTTACCACCTTCCTGTACATGGCGAAATTTTATATCATATTGGCCACATACTTCGAACGTTCATTACGGCTGGAAGAATTACGTCGGTTCTGCTTTTAGCCATGTTCTTTATCGATTCGTTATTGCCGATGGAGAAGTGGCTTTATTAGAAACTCATGCTCCTTAGTTGAAGCTCATTCTGAATCAACTCCATGCAGCCTTAAGCCCTTCATTGCTGATCCAAGGAAGGAGCTGAAGACTTACGAGCTTTTATTTTTTATTTTTGAATCATTTTGAAAGGGTCACGCAAAAACAAAGGTTGTCAGCGATTGCGACATATTGATGATTGTTTATTCTCTTTAAAACGAGATTCACATTACTGACAATATTTTATACTCTTTATGTTCATTGTATTCTGCATTGTTGAATGGATGAGAAAATGTTGCCGTTAAATTGATATATAAAGCATAACATAATCGCAGAAATTTTTTCATATCTCATCATCAAATCAAATGAATAACTACTTTACAGGAAGACCCACACCTCAACCAGATATTCCTCCCAGACCCGCCACGCCTACCCCTTACACCCAACCTCCACCACGTCGTTAAAACGTTCCTTTTTATCGATGATCATGATTTCATAAATAAAACCCGTTTTTTATTCTGATCATTAATATACATTACAATACTTTCATGCCCCATTATCTTTGTTGTAGTCATCTAATAATCCAAACCTCTTGATTATTGTGTGAACATATACAACACATTAAAACTATACCTTTCCTTTCTAAAATTGGTTGTCTTTTCTTTTTATAAAGCAATATAGATTCTTGGTATGTTTTACACTGAATACGTATACAATAATATTATACTAATCAAGTATGACACCTGTTACAGATTACAAGCCATAGTTTCGGCACATTATTTTGATGAACATAGTCCATAATTATAGACTGTATATCTATGTTTTACATGCGACATGTATAAATATCCTTCATACAAACTTCTCAAAAGTTACACACCTGATTTATATATAGTTAACAGTGATGATAAATTTAGTTTAATTTTCTTCTTCATTCTTCATTGCCTCTAACCGGTCTTGCAAGACAAACGGCCAAAATTATATGGTAAAACTTTATGGATATAGGCTGTGGCATTTTAAAATAACCTCGCTTTTCTAAATAAAAACCAAACTACTTAAAGAAGCCAACCCCACTTTTTTATAAGTAAGCATTCAGACCGACTACGAGATAGTACTGATGTACAATATCGTTTGATGATAGCACTCCTTCTTCTTTAGAGGGTTACCACTTGTTTTTTAAAAAAAAACTGCATGATGAGAATCTTTTTTATAGGAGTTTTACAAGAGATTTGTGTGGCCGAATTTTTCCTTTAATTTTTGGTAGTGCTTGGCATGCATTAAAGGAAGACAACGCTTGGGAAAATTAAAAAGAAAAAAAAAAGCATTTATAAATATTATTATGTATAAAGCTTGTAAAGCCAGTGTGATAGTTACGATGACCTGTTCAATGTTATGTATTTAAGCATGTATTTATGTTTAAGTGGGTTTAGACCGTCGTGAGACTAATTGGTTTTACCCTACTGATGATATTGGTATCGGTAACGTTTTAAGAGCTAAAAAAAAGTAATTCATTATTCTATCGTATTATTAGAGACCGATTTTAGCTATCATCTTTCTTTCCTAGTTATTTACCCCATTTAGGACCACTGCTGCATACGGAATCAGAATACACGTCCTCTTTTTCATTATCCTTATCTTTATCATCATCACTGTTATTGTCCCACTTTTCTCTTACATTGTAACGCATATACATGTGAGGCGATCCATAGAATCTCGTTGCAGAAATAAGCTCAGGATAGTATGGATTTTTTCTGTAGCAAATAAGAGTATCCTGTAGACCTTTTACTCTTTCCGTAAGAAGGGTTGCGTTACGTTTGCTGAATTTTTTACAATAAAAAATACAGCAGGCTTTTTCCAATTTAACAGTATCTGATTCAGACATAATAAGTGACAAAATCCCTTCTTGCCGAGACTTCTAATGATGGCGCTGGGTTTGTGATCTCTGCTGTTGGTGTAAGGACTCCTGCTGATATGGTGTTCGCTAATGCTACGCATGATATTGCCGTTGCTGCGGATCTCATAGTCGTTGAAAGAAAGAAAAAGAAAGAAGAAAAAAAAGCTGGATATCCTTTTTTTGTTTTTTTTTTTTTTTTTTTTTTTTTTTTTTGGTAAGAATGACTCGATTAGATGTTTTATGGCACAATACATACTGCTTTATTAGGGCTTTTTGGGTATGAATGATTGAACTTTTTGTCTTTTTTATCTGCACAAAAGACTTTAAGCATTAATAAGGCAAAGACTGTTCCACCGTGTTGGGATTTAAAGCAAAAAAATTATCTCTCCCGACAGTTGCCATATATGAAATGAAAGGTGTAACCATGGACCGGTAAATTTGCAGTGAGAATCCATTTCAAAAAAAAAAAAAATTATCTCTCCCGACAATTTCCATATATGACTTGAAAAGTGTAACCATGGACAGACAAGTTTGCAGTGAGAATCCATTATCTCATAATTTTTTTTGCTGATAAATTGATAAGGGCTTTTTTGTCATCCTGATTGATAAACACTTCTTGTCACCTCAATAACATGCCACCTAAAAATACACGAAACATCCAGTTTTATTTTATATTCTAATGCTACTGATCATTCCACTTATAACGGACTACATCCGATCATAAACATTACGACAACTTTGGCATGATGTCTTTTTGTTTACACAAAAAATAGTGATACACGTATATTTTGTTTATAGACATGTATATTTTGCTTAAACATGTATATTTATGTACAGCACTTTTTTAAGCTTTCTTTTTTTTTGACAGATGGGGAGGATGAAAAATTCATTTCTGGGTTTTGATTATGGCACAAGAATGATGAAATATTCGCCTTTCATTCTGACATTTTTTTTTATTCATGCTACACATAAGAGGATCGACGGATAGGTGTGTGACTATAAATAAATAAATAACAAAAAAAAAAAAAAAAAAAATTGCGCTTGATTGAACGGTAATGTCGCCTAATGTTTATGAACAAATTAAAGTCTCGGTTTTTTTTATTACTAGTTAGATGATGAATGTCGCCATTTCCGACCTACCTTTTTCCATCCAATGAAAATACTTGGACTTTTCCTGTTTGACCAATCTTTTTAGAAAGAAAAAGTCAAAAATGCTGCCAATCACGCTATATCAATACCGGACACTGAAATTTAACGTTTATTGGCTAATGTATGCCTGATGGCACAATGATGATCCAATCAAAAAGCTTAGATATTGTGTGTTTCTAAATTTTTTGTTGTCTATGTATGCTCCTCTTTTAATTTTTTTTTCCATCTTTTTTTTTTGGTTCCCCTATATATATGTAATTATTTTTTTTTAGTTCTTTCCTTTCTCTTATACATTTTCGATCCCCCTCACTCCTTCTATTTACCCCGTCTTATACAAAAAGGCCCACCTCTCTTTCTTTTTCTTTTTTCTTCACCATGAACTGTACAACCAAAATTCCCACCTATTGCTACAGACATAGTCCCGAATTAATCAAGACTCGTAACAAGGAAGATGTGACCACGCTGCATTTACAACAGGTAAAAAAAACGATAAAAACTAACCGAAAATAAATCACTTACTAATATTTTAAAAAAAAGGAATTGAGCTTATTACCAGCACAAACCCAATTAGAAATTTCCACACTTTGGTCTACTTTTCAAACCGCCAACAAAGAGAGTCGATTATTAATGCTTAAGGGTATATTAGCCTCTTCCTGCACACCTCAACTTTCATTTATTTCCAACGCCGTCAAACCTTTATTACGTACCGATTTCACTGCAGTTTTCCCTTCCGAAATCACCAAACATATTTTTTCTTTACTCGACGCTTCTTCGCTCTGTTCAGCTGCTCAAGTCAATCATCATTGGAAGAACTTGGCTGACGATGACACTTTATGGCATCACATGTGCGAACAACATATCAATAAGAAATGCACCAAATGTGGTTGGGGTTTACCTCTCCTTCAAAAACGTAAAGTGATTCGCATTAAACGTGCTCGTGAGGTCGAAAGTGATGCCATGTGTGAAGACATCCCCGCTGCAAAACGTCTCGATCGTCGTCGTCCCTGGAAAGATGTTTACAGTGAGCGTCTTGTGGTCGGTCGTAATTGGCGTCGTAATCGATCTGCTACTCAATCCTTTTCAGGTCAACATAAAGGGGGTGTCACCTCTTTACAATTCTGTGAGGCTCAAAATATCTTGATCACCGGCTCCTATGATAAAACTGCTATCGTTTGGAACTTGGAAACTGGTGAAGTCTTGAGAAAATTAGAAGGCCATGCTCGTGCTATTCGTACACTTCAGTTCGATGATACCAAATGTGTGACGGGTTCAATGGATCATACCTTACGTATTTGGAATTATCATACAGGTCAATGCATTCGTACTTTGGAAGGTCATACGGACGGTGTCGTTCATCTTAACTTTGATTGTCGAATCCTGGCAAGTGGTTCTGCCGATGCCTCCATCAAAATTTGGAACTTTCAAACAGGTGAATGCTATACTTTGACAGGTCATACCAAGATGGTGAATCATGTCAGCATTCAAAAGAACAGTACTACCTTGATCTCCAGCTCAGATGATGGTTCTATTCGTATTTGGGATCTCGAAAAACGTGCCTGTGCTCGTGTCCTCAGTGGTCATATGGCTCCCGTTCAAGCTGCTATTCCTAGTATGCCTGGTTTCTTGCATTCTTTTTACAAGCCTGTCGTCAAACCTCGTAGAGCTATTAGTCCTATCAGTAGTAGTAGCGATGAAGAAGAATTACCAGTTGTCTTGAGACGTCGTGGTAGTAACTCAAGCAATACAAGCACACGTAGCGAGGATTGTGACCGTCGATCATCCGAACAAGTGGTCATTTCTGGTTCATTGGATAATACCATCAAGGTCTGGTCTTTAGAATCCGGTGAATGTTTACAAACTTTATTTGGTCATGTTCAAGGTATTTGGACATTAGCCTATGATAAATTACATATGGTGTCTGGCTCGCATGATGGCAGTTTAAAACTCTGGGATATCGAAAGTGGATTACCCATGCATTGTTTAGAAGGACATGCATCGGCTGTCACTGCTGTGGCTCTCAGTGATACCAAAATCGTCAGTGCTGATGATCAAGGTGAAGTAAGAATCTTTGACTTTGGCTGTAAATAATCTATTCCCCCCCTTTCATTACACACATATGTACATTTTAATAAAATTCCCCCCATTGTTTGCATAAAAAAAAAAGTTTTTGTTTTGTTTATCAAAAATTACGTAAGAATAAAGAGAGAGAGTGTGTGTGTTTAGGAGAGAGCGAGAGTAATAGAGAGAGTGTGTGAGTGATTGTGTGATTGTGTGAGTGAGTAAATTACTCTTGGCCGAAACCAACAGTTTCTTCCACAGCCATAGTAAGTTTTGCAACAAGCACTTCATATGACTTGTAAGGAGGCATATCAATACGATTGAAACTAAAAAAAAGAAAAAAAGAATAGGGTTCAATAAGAGAATAATCTTCAGATCTGTGTAATCAAACTTACCATGTGTGTGCTTTGGGTAATTGTGTGACTTCACCTGACTTTTCGATAGTGAATCTTCTGGGACCATCACTACCTTGTAAATCCTTGAAGCCATTGACGGGAATACGAGAAGTACCTGTAGTGAATTGTAGCAATCTGGATTTCTTTTCACTGTCCCAAGTACGAATACATTTCCAGAACCATTGAATCACATCATCCTGTTCAGTATAACCTCTGTAATCCGTATGCTTCTTCCAATCCTCGACATCAATCTCGGCAATACCACCAATCAACAATTCAAGTTCACGTTCATCAAATACATTGACAAGATCTTGAGGGATCAATTGGTTAAAACCTTCCTTGAAGGCCTTGAATTGTTCTTCCACTCGTTTATGAATACGCCATTCAGTGACCAAATTAACATACTCCTTCTTGTTTTCTTCGGTGACCTCAATGTTTTCTCCATTCGGTATTAAATCCACAGTCACCACTTCTCCGAAACGATCATCATCTGTAGAGAATGTCAACTCCAAGACATCGGTGATATCGTTGTTCCTATGATGTCGTGTGATAAGTAAAACAAAAAAAAATCATGATTTTTGCATTGTACACGCACACACACACACACACACACTAAAAAAAAAAAAAAAACTTACAAAATCCACATGAGACTGCGATAGAAATCAGCATCCACACTCTCCATATCCGCCACCAAAATTTTCTTGTTCAAGATCATTTTATAGAACGAAACGATAAAGAAAGCATCCAAGAAACGACGATGGAAAATAGACAGACCTACCACACGACCAATGAATCTGAAATAATTCAAATGTTCAGGGTTGATACCTGAATGAGGATTGATCTGTAATGTGTAGTTATCATGAGCAGAGTATTCAAACAGACAATAGAAAGGATTGAACATTTCATGAGATAACAAGAAGAAGAATTCACGAGATAAACCACCATAATCTAATCCATCTTCACCATCAAACTTGATCATCAAACGTTTCTTTAAATCGGCAGGGGCCTGTCTCATAATCTCGGCATAGGCGTCTTCAAAAATATGATCTCTTCGTACCTTGATATGACATTGTCCAGGAACAGGACGAAGTGCAGGTTGAGAACGGAAATAAATTAACTTACGACGGAAATCTCGCTTGTATTGAGGTACGTTTTGATCAAGACTACTGGGTAAACGAGGATCATCCCACGTTGTGGTCTTGGTATTATGATCTACAAAGTAAACACGACCTGTACTTGTCAATCGCATCTCCCAACCAGAAGGTAGAGGTCCCAATTGACTCACGGGTTGTACCTGCACCTGTAAATTAGATCCAGGTCCGATAGTACTAATGTATTGTTGTCGTCGAGGATCAACCCACGTTGTCGTACGTGTATTATGATCCACAAAATAAGGTCGTCCTTCAGCACTCGTACGCATTTCCCAACCAGGTGGAAGTGGTCCTGATCCTGCGGATGTCATATTGTTGTTGGGTACAGTCACACTGGAGGATGTATTGGGTGTTACCGTAGCAACGGCAGCAGAAGCAGAAGAGGCAGCGGCAGCAGAAGCAGACGCAGCAGCAGACGCAGCAGCAGCAGCATTAGAAGCAGCATGAGTAGGTGGAGGAGCACTTGTATCTAAGGATACATTACTATTAGCAGCACTAGGTCTATCTTCAGGCAAACCACGAGCATTATGACGCAGTCTTTCCAATTCTGTTTGATTTTGTTGATCTTGAGCCGTTCTAGCGGAAGGTCTTTTCCAGGTGGTTGTACGAGAATTATGATCCACATAATAAGGTCTTCCCAAATGATCTACTCGACGTTCCCAACCAGGAGGTAAATCATTGTTGTCTGAAGCTGTGGAAATATTGGTGTTTGATTCGGAAGCACCCACTTGCATCGGAGGTACTAATCCACCCGCAGTAGTAGTAGTAGTAGCAGCAGCAGCAGCAGCAGCAGTAGGATTAGGTGTGCTGGAGGAAGAGCTGGGATTACCTGCAGCGAGGGTATCTGTACCATTTCGAATAGGTACATTTACATTGGTAGATAGATTCAAGATGAGTTTTCCGTGCACGGCCTCGTTGGTATTGGATTTCTTTAATTCCAGTGTAAGCATTTCTAATAACGGAGTTTGATTAATCTCGAATACAATAGCACATCTAACTATATATTTACCATCTCCACCAACGTCAAGGTCGAATACGTTGGAGACTTGAACATTAATCACACCCAAGAAGCCTTGATCCTTCTTTTTAAACTTCTTTTGATCAAATACTTGTACAGCGATAACGCTTTGATTGGTTACTTTTCTATATCCATGTTATTAATAAAATATAAAATATGTAAAAAAAAAAAAAAAAAAAAACAAGAGAGGCTATTTACAAGTCGAAACTTTCATTCCAGTATGGATTCAATGTCTTTTTCATGACGGTAGTAGTGTGTGTTTGTTCGCCATCCACAGTTACAACAGCTAGTATAAACAGAAGAAAAAAAGGTTAATAACAAGAAAAAAGACAAATGTTATGCAATAAGTACCAAAAGGGTCGGGCATTTTAAAAAATAAGTCCTTCTTAATTAACCCATCTGCTGCAATAACTGTAAGACGAATGGTCCTAGTGTTTGCTGACATCTCTCTTTTTTTTTATAAGGTAGACGAGTTAAAAAAAAAAAAAGGAATAATAATAAAAAAAAAGAGTAGAGTATTGCGACTTTTTTTTGTTTTATTAAACTTTTTTTTTTTTTTGTGTGTGTGTATTGAAACTAGTTCGGTTTATTCTTTTCTCTCCCTTTTTGTTGTGTTGTTCCCTTTTGGGTTATTTTGTAAAGGACGCTGATTTTTGTTGTCTGTAGGAGAGAGAAAAAGAAGTACAAACTATATGAAAAAAAAAATAATAACTGCTCAGCACTTTTTTTTTTTTGTTTCGCCCCTCGTGATGGTTACGAAAACTCCGGCTTAACAATTTTCATTTTTTTATAAAATGTGTATGCATGACAAATCCAAATGTTGTCACAGTCAGAAAAAAAAAAAAAAAAAGCACGTACGTCACTTGAAACAGAGGCTCTGATTGGTTAAATGGCAGCGCCAAGCCATCGCTATAAATAGGGAGCGACGATTTCAAAACAATGCTTCTTTTAACCATGTCTAGCACTCCATTTTATGAGTTATACCGCCGTTCGAGGTAAAATAAGTGTGGCAAACAGAAAAGTGAAAGAGATTTTAACATTTACTATAGCATCGGAATGGCTTTGACCGATTCTTTGGATGAACTGATCCAAAGTGGTCATATTAATCCTCAATTAGCCATGCGTGTATTGATGACTTTTGATAGAAGTATATCCGAAGCTCTTTCACAACTCGTCAGAAACAAGGCAAATATCAAGGTAAGCACACAACTGTTGTAAAGATGTTTTTTTCAAAAAAAAAAAAGAAATGAATGAAATTTTTTATTTTTTTTTTTCATACAAACCAAAAAAAAATATACATATAAACAAAAAACCAAAAACAAACCAAAAAAAAAATAAAGGGTCATTTACACACTTACCGTTTCTGTGATGAGGTCTGGACATTCATCATTGAAAACCCAAACTTCAAGTTTGACCAAGAAACCATTTCGGCCGATAAAGTAAAGATTGTTGCTTGTAACGCTAAAAGACCTGGAGAACAGTAAAAAAAAAATATATATGATTGGTATACGACATTCAACACGACTCAACCTTTATCTCTCAATCAACACCCCTATAAACGCGTTTTTTTTTTTATATCATCTCTTTTTTTTTTGTAAATAAAACAAATCACGGCTGGGCAATACATGTTGGCCTATCATTTCATATAAAAATAAAGCTTGCCATTTTCATTATGCTATTGACGTCCGTCTTTTTCACATAAAAAAGCGACTTACGATATCAGGCGGGCCCAGCCATATCGGACCTCCTTATTCTTTTCTTTTCTACTCTTTTCTTGGTCCTAGGATAAAAGCGTTTAGAGTTTAGCCTACTAACATCTTCCTAGGGGTTGTGGACGCTATCAGGATTGAGGATCAATAGGTGTTAGGATAGTAGTGTTGTGGGTTTTCTTATGGGAAAAAAAGGCATGAGCCATCTTTAGATTTGGCTATCTAGTATCATAGCACCTGTTATCAGCTTCATAGAGGTAGTCTGGTTCATGCAAGAGAAAACTAAAAGAAGCACTGTCCATTTTGAATGCAAGTCTATACCAATAATACACCAATCTTATTTTGTCAATATTTACCATAAACAAAACCGCTGTAAACATCATCATACCTTAATAAAACAGTTAAACACGTTTTGCGTTCTCTTTTCTTTTTCCTTAATAAGTGTGTATATGAAAAGACCAGTTTATACCTTAACAGAACCGCTTTCATCAGCTTGATCTATAGAAATTGTGCAACTATCTCTCCTCGAATTATAGGCGCCCCACGCTGCCGAAGAGACATCGAAATCAATATTCTTTTCCAGCAGTGTAATCAGTTCATGTCCCCCTTCCAAGCCTTATCCAAATTACTATCAGTTTTTATAACCGTTAATAAGAACCAAATCGAAATAGGGGTTCTGTTCATTGGTCTTTATAATGACTGTCTTGTCATGTTTGTTGCATGGCTTGTTTTTTTCTATCTAGCCGTCAGAAGTATAGGAAAAAGCAAACATAAATCGTTCTTTACTACGAAAGCAAATGATTCATTTAAGTGATTACGCAAAGGACCACAATTTTTGCCACGTGGAATGTAACGCCATTCTCTTGTTCGCCTGAAATACCTTAGATATTCCTGAGAGTAGTTTAAATTAGGTAATGTTGCTGCTCTTGCTCTTGCTGTTGATGCTGTTTCTCTACGAATATGTCAGTTACTGGGAACCATAGTGTAGAGCTTACGGAGAAGCAAATGTTTGACATAGCAAACCAAGATAAACGGCAAAGTCAGCATGTATTAACTAGTTATCCAAACAACGGGCAAAGCTTATCGGCCTTGAAGTCAACTGTTGCGTAGCAACATGACATATTGATTGTCAGCAACAGGCTTTGATCCCCACTGCTTACACAAAAAGTAAAAGCATATTTTTTAAAACCCCGTTACAGATTGTGCTTTGTGTGTAAAAGCACAATCTTTAATCGTATTGCAAAGGAACGTCATCTCTCAGTAATGCTCGTTATGTTTAAGTAACCAATAGAAGTGTAGCGGGATCACAAGTAGCGAAGTTCTTTTTTTTTTCTTGTGTGTGGGGAAGAATCTCTTGTGTACACACACACACAACCCCCTCCCCCCCCTTTTTTTTATCTATTTCTTTTTTTTTTTATCTCTCACTCTGTTCTTCCAAGCATGTCGTCGCAACAGGCTACTACACAACCTTTAAGACTAAGAAATCCTACACCTTATCACTTACAGCAGCAGCCAACTGCGGGCCACCCTTTAACCGAATCTCGGCCCTTAGGTTTTAATCATGACCCACCTACTTCACCCATTGACTTTAACAATTCGTTCTCTCACAACCTATTGAATCAAGACTACGGAGATGAAGGAGACTTTACGCCCATGTATAACCGAAACTCATTTGGCTCTTCCACACAGGTAAAAAAAAAAAGGATCCCTTATGTGTGTGTGTCTATCTTGATATATGCATAGAGATAAAACTAACACGCACACATATATATATATATATAAAACTAGACCCCGATGGATATAAGACGATCCTCTACTGCGACGGATGCTACACTACAATCCATGGGAAGACAAGATTATAATCCTGTATTTATGCCTGGCAGTCTAGATTCTGCTCATTCATTAGCCATGTCTGCACCCTCAGGTTATGATTATGGATACCCATCTAACAATCCATCAGCTCATGGTGGCGGTGGTGGTGCTACAGGCTCTGCTAATAATGTTACATTGGAACCATCTACCAGTGGCACAGCCCGAAGTTTTGAAGATGATTACACTGTACAAATGAAGTAAAACAAGTGTTTCTATATGAACGTATATTTTTTTTTGCTAAAACATCAGAATTCAAATTATAGTATGCAGTTGATGATGGAGAAACGACGTCGTAGAAGAGAATCCCACAACGCTGGTAAGTTGTTTTTGTTTAGAAAATATATGTGTGCTCTTTGTAGAAAAGAAGACTGAAATCATCTTTTTGTCTTTCAAAAAGTGGAGAGAAGGCGGAGAGATAATATCAACGATCGCATTGGCGAACTTTGTACATTGTTGCCTGAAGCGGCTTTAGAAAATACAAATATCGGACCCAACAATAAACCTAATAAGGGAGCGATCTTGAGAAAATCGGTGGATCATATTCGACAATTACAACAAGAAGTGCATGTGTATCATCAACGTGTACAAGATTTAGAAAAGACACTGGCCATGTACCGGTCCTCTCCTTCCTCCTCCTCTTGATCAAAAATAATAAATTTTTGTTTTTTTTATTATCATTATTATTATTACTTTAATGCCATGGGTTTTCTTCCTCATCATTATAATCTATAACCGAGATTCCACTTGTAGAAGAGATACGATCACGAGGAGGTAAACTCGCAAACCCAATTTGTTGTTGCTCTTCTGCCACTTGTTCATGAAAGAACGATTCCTCTTCTCGCACAGGTTCTAATAGTAATGTTTGTCCTGTATTCCAACTCGTGATCAAATCCGCAAACGCATTTCGTTTCTCGGGTTCGATATCTTGCACTGACACCTTATGCAAAGGTGAACTCACAGAGGGTTCCATCATCAGATGCATTGTAGGTGTATCCTGTTCTCTCATTGTCCCATCAAACCATGGATCATCCATATCCGTTCTCAGTGTTGTGGGTGTACTGGCTGATGGTAATAAACGCTTTGTTGTTGTTGACGTCTCCATTACCTGAGGTAATGCAAGGTCACTCGTGGCTAAAGACGCATAATGACTCTTAAAAGACATGACATCGTCTGCAAAGGCTCGTGTCGCCTCATCCTCAATTACCACCTGGTATTGTTCCTCCTCCTCTTCCTCCTCCTCTTCCTCTTCCTCCCTTTGTTGTTGTTGCTGATGTTGTTGTGGTGGCGGTGGGACAGCTACTTTTCTAGGTGTTGGTGGTTTAGGTAAAGGCTTGTGTTGCTGTTGTTGAACTACAGGCTCTACTGGTACAGGCTCGTTTTTTAATTTAGGCGAATTAGAAGCAGATGCAACAGAGGAAGCCGATGAAGAAGGCTTTGAACCCGAGGACTTGAAAAACCGGCTTGCTGAAGCAAAAAACGAGGGTTTTTCTTCCTCCTCTTCAACAGGTGTGGGTGTTTGCTTCACGGGTTCTTTTATGATGGGCGATTGTTTGACAACGGGTGACTGTTTTACTGGTTCCTTGACGACGGGTGGTCTCACTTGTTCGTTGACCACAAGCGGTTCTTTAGACACGGACGGCTCTTTCACAACGTGTTTTACAGGTGAAGTGGTGGTGGTGGTGGAGGTGGGATTAGTCTTTTTAAGAGGTTCAGTTATGGGTGAAGCTGGTTGTCGTACGGGAGAAGGTTTACTGGAAACTCTTGTTCGAGATGTTCTCTTACCACCAAATAAATCCTCTTCGTCGTCCTCTAATGAACGTAAAGGAGTGGAGCGTAATGATGGACTTGTTCTTTTGCTGTTACCTAACTTGCTTACATCAACATCGCCGAATATACTGGCAGTTTTTGTCCGACGCGTGAGAGGTGTACTGTTACTTCCGTGAGAGCTAGAAGGTGAAGGAGGAGAAAGAAGCGGGTCTTCCGAAGCAGAGACTACATTTAAAGGGTCTTTCTTTATCTTTTAAGCATACCAGTCATTGTAACGAAAGGAGAATGTTTTTTTTTTCTTGGAGAAAAAAAAATACTTACTTACCATCACCAAACAAATGGCCATGTTTTGCTCTTTGCTTTGACTTGAACGACATGATGGAGAGATTTTATTGTTGAAAAAGAGAGAGAAATAAAAAAAGGTTGACCCTTAATTTATTATTTTATTTTTTTTGCGTATGTTCAAAACACGTGTTCTCCCCCGCAAAAAGGGGTTCTAGTAGTTGTGAAATGACGTTCACAACTACTTATTCATATAGCCCTTACATAGAAAGGGCAATCCTTTTTTATATATACCATGAATATACATCATTCGATAGGCTTCTATAACATAAGACCAAGCATCATGATGTGATTCATTATTGCCTCACACAGAAAAAATAAAAACCTGAGCACTTCAACATTTTTTTTTCTTTCTGCGTCAATAAATAACATGAGGGCTTCGTGTTTTATTATAGCTCTTTTTTTCTCTGTTTATAAAACATGTATAAACTTGTATCTTTCTTGTTATTTTCTTTTTTACATTTAATTCCGTATCAAAAACAACGAGCCTTATTATCTACTATAGTCAAGACAGCAATTCTGTCTTTATAGTTCTTTTTTACTTTTTTTCGGTAGACACCCTACATGCATTATCTATATTAATTGAGTAACACAAATGACACAGGGACAAAAAAAGAAGGGGTAAGTTTCTAGGTCTTTATCATCTTTTAGCTTCAACAAAGTGCTTACTACTTCGGAGTTGGGGCCTAGTTTTGCATGATTGTATTACGTAATGAACTTTATATCATTCTATCCTTTCTGTGTAAATGGATCTCAAACATCATCTTAAAAAAACTCTTTCTTCAAAGGCCAATGTATAGTAAGATAAACGTTTTATCTTTAATCTCACGGGAGAGACGAAAACAAATATAAACGACATATGAGTCCATTTGTTCCATACAATATAAGATATTGCTACTAATACTGATGTATTAGAGACAAGAGGAAATTCTACAGCTCTAATAGATGTATACAAACATTGTGTTTTAATTGAAGCAAAGGATGTATATGAAAAACATGGGGGGTCTTTCTTTTAAAATGAAACCATTTGACATATCACTAAGGTTACACAAACACCTATTTTCTGCCTTTTCTTGAACAAAAGGATTGATTTCTAAACAGGTAAACCCTAACAACATTCAGTAATGCTTCCTTATGATAGTAACAATCTAATTTCACAAACTCACTTTACAATTGACCTCATATAAAGAACTGTAGAAAAAAAGGTGATTATAAAAAAAGTAAATCTAAAAAAGGCAATTTTATCCAGATGGGGGAAACAGAAAGCAATAAAATAAAATAAAAAAGGTCGCCGCTTACAACGAACGGAAGGAAGTTTTATTTTTTAAAGATACGCGTTGTCCCCCCCTGCCCAATGAATGCAACTCTATCTTTCTCACACCCTCTCTCATGTCATACCAAAAAAAGTTTTTTTTTTATAACACAGCAGGCTTAAAACAAACTTTCTCACGATTTTTCCTATTGTCTCCCTCTCTCTCTCTTTCTTTAAAAAATAACAATGGCCAGAGTAATTGATCCCAGCAGTCTTGCTAACCTCGATGAGGTGCGTACCAACCACATTCACATGAACTGGACTATTTCTTTTGACCAAAAGAAAATTGGTGGTAACGTCGTCTTGGATATTGTTACTTTGGTGGATAATGTCGACAAGGTCGTTTTGGACACAAGTTACCTTGATTTACAAGCTGTTTCTCTCAACGGTGAACCTCTTCAAGTAAAATTAAAACGCGCCACTTTCATATTATATCTTAACCTCTCCCCCCTTTTACTAGTACACTGTTGCTGAACGTCACCTCAGTCTTGGTTCTGCATTAACCGTGTCCATTCCTACTATCGCCAAGGCAGGTACGGAATTCCAACTCAAGGTCGAGTACTCTACTACCGACAAATGTACTGGTGTTCAATACTTGGAACCCGAGTAAGTTTTTTTTTTTTTTTAATTATTCTAAAAAAAAAAAAAAAACTAATATTTATCCACTATAGACAAACTGTTGGTAAGAAGCATCCCTATTTATTCTCCCAATGTCAAGCTGTAAGTATAAAAAGAGTCATAAGAGAGAAAGAGAAAAAAGAGAGAGAGACTAAAGTGAAAACCTCGTAGATCCATGCTAGATCCATGTTGCCTTGTATGGATTCACCTTCCAACAAATTGACCTATTCCGCTGCTGTCAAGTCTGCTTTACCCGTTGTCATGTCTGCTCTTTTGTCCTCTGTCGATGATAATGGAGATAATACCAAGACCTATAACTTTAAGCAAGCTACCACTATTCCTTCTTACTTGATTGCTGTCGCTGCTGGTAATTTGGTTGGCCGTGAAATCGGTCCTCGTTCTACTGTCTGGTGTGAACCTGAGGTTGTTGATCAAGCCGCTTGGGAATTCGATGTAAGTGTATTTGTGTGTAAAGGGAGAATATAGACATACATATATTTAATGTTTTGTATTGGTTTATAGGACACCGAGAGATTCATTGCTACCGGTGAAAGCCTTTTGACTCCTTATGAATGGGGACGTTATGATCTTTTGGTCTTGCCTCCCTCTTTCCCTTATGGTGGTATGGAGGTAAGTTTTTTCACCCCCAGAAACATATTGAATATAATTCTCACTTTGTGTTTTTCTATGTTAGAATCCCTGTTTAACTTTTGTTACACCTACTCTTTTAGCTGGTAAGAAAGACAAAGGCACACGAGTGTTGTAGAAGAGAGAAAAAATAAGCTAATATTTTTTTCGGTGGTATAGGTGATAAGAGTGCCGTGGATGTGGTTGCTCACGAAATCGCACATAGTTGGATGGGTAACTTAGTCACTACATCTAACTGGGAGCATTTCTGGTTAAATGAAGGTTGGACCGTCTTTATCGAAAGAAAGATTGCCGGTAAGAAAGAAAAAACCATGAGAAACTTGGCGTCTCACTCCCCCCTCTTAAACTCACATCTATTCTCTCTTTTTTTTTAATACAAAAAAGCTCGTCTTCACGGTGAAGCTGAAAGACAATTTAGTTCCATCATTGGATGGAAGGCCTTGAAAGAAAGTGTTGAGCTCTTTGGTGAAGATTCTCCTGCTACCGTCTTGAAGCCTGATTTAAGCAGTGGTATCGATCCTGATGATTACTTTAGTTCCATCCCTTATGGTAAGTCATTTTGTAACAATTGATGGGTCTTTGTTTTTATTAACTCTGATTGTACCATCAAATAGAAAAGGGTTTCAATTTGCTTTACCACATTGAAAAGGTCGTAGGTGGTCCTACTGTCTTTGAACCTTACATGAAGGCTCATGTGGAACGTTTTGCTAGTAAATCTATCACCACCGAGGATTGGTTAGCTCATATCCACGAATATATGGAAGTCAACCATGGTCAAGAGACACTCCAAAAGTTAAAGTCCATCGATTTTGATCTTTGGATTAACAGCCCCGGTATGCCTCCCGTTGATCCTAACTTTGATACTAGCCTTGCTGATGCTTGTTATAACCTCGCTACACGTTGGGATCAAGCCCGTGATTCTGACGATTTGTCTGCTTTCTCTCCCAAGGATGTCGAATCCTTCACTTCTACACAAAAGAGTAAGTTCATCCCTCTTTTCTCCTTTTAGTTTAAATCTTCACAGATACTAACACATAGTATGTTTGTAGTTGTCTTTTTGGAACGTTTAACAGATTGTGAACCTTTACCTCACAGAGTTCTTGCCAAGATGGATGAACTTTATGAAATGAGCCCTATCCGTAATGCCGATATCCGATTCCGTTGGGAGCAAATCTGTGTCATGGCCAGTTATGAAAAGATCTACCCTAGCGTCGTTGAATTTATTACCAAGCAAGGTCGTATGAAGTTCGTTCGTCCTCTTTACCGTTACCTCTACAATGCCAAGAACGGTGCTACTTTAGCGCAAGAGACTTTCTTGAAACACAAGAACTTTTACCATCCTATTGCCGCTCAACTCATTGCCAAGGATATCAACTTGAAGCAATAAATAATTTTTTTTTTCTTTTCAATTTGTAAATGTAAAAAAAAAAAATACACAAACAAACACGCGCATACTTTTATTATTTAAATGTCCTTGACTTCAAAGATCATACCACCATTATGTGTTAAACGATCCAATAAGACTTTACCAAAAGCAGTAGCAGGGGTCAAGATACCACCACCATTACCAGGAAGATCTTTTAAACTTTTAACGATACATAAAGCAGATTCTGCGACCATACGACAAGTATCACCATACCCAGGGTCTCTGAATCCTTTTACAGTACCACGTACACGTACAGCTTTATCATAAGGCTCTGTCTCTGCTGTAGCAATAAATTGCATCTCGAAACAACCCTTAGCTCTTTGTTCGGCATCAGGACCATCACCTGAAGCAGGCAACATGGATTTCATTTTGTTGGCCAAAAAGGGTACCTTGAAAAGTAAAGCAGCCAAGGGAACCACCGTATACAGGATCAAGGTTAAAGCCAAAGCAGGCAAGAAATCAAAGGTCATCGTTTCCTTGTAGCGGAAAAGATTACCATAACTTTGACCACGATCAGCCCAAATAGACCAACTACGACGCACGACCTTTTCATTGACAGCAGACATCAAGAAGAAGGCTTGCCATTTATCTCCAAAGTCACGGTCACGACGAATCATGGGTAAGCTAGGTCTGTCCACACCTTGACGTGTAGCTAAAAGATAAGGGTCCATTTGATCCTTACCCGAGATATCCTTATTGGTCATGATTTCTACAATGGATTGTACAGTACCTCCCGAATAACCTCCTTTCACATGAACTAGCGACATCTTGACATCGGTTACAGCTAAATTATGCTTGCTGTGCATGTAATCGGAAACCATGTAAACACCCAAATCACTAGGGATGGAATCAAACCCACATGTAGGGACAATCATGATTTGTTTCTCTTGAGCCTTTTTATCGAGACGGTCGATGAGTTGTTTGACCCAAGGATATTCACCCGTCGTGTCGACATAATGTGTGCCTTGACGAATACAGGCTTCCACAAGTGGTGTACCATATTTCACAAAAGGTCCCACGGTACTAATAACAACACGGGTTTGTGACAAGACTGTATCAAGACTGGTCGTTTGTGTAGCATCCGCAATTAAAAGATCAAGATTCTATTGTATGGTAATTTGTTAAAAAAAACAGGTCTTTTTTAGACCAAAAGAGAAAAACACTTGCCTGTAATTTAGGATCAATGGTGGCAAGACGATCGCGTACTTGTTCAAGTTTACCAAGGTTACGACCTGCTAAAGCCCAAGAAAGATTCTAGTGACAATTTTTTTTTTTGTTTTAGTTAAGGCCAAATAAAGTGAAAAAAATATTACCTCATCTTGGATTTCTGCCAAATATTCACAGGTTAATGCACCAGTAAATCCTGTTGCACCAAATACAACTGAATAATAATAATAAAAAATTTAGTTTTCTATCGCCTTGGTTGTTATCATGTTATTTTTCAAGTATACCAAGATCGTATTTTCTTTGAGTAAAATCAGTCATTTTTTTTTTTATATGTATATATAATATAAATGGAAAAGAAGAAGGTGTATTTTATAAAAAAAAAAAAAAGAAGTGTCAGCACAAATAGGCGGAGATCGTATCGCATGATTTTCTCGATGTGTGCTACCCTAAACCTTTCAAAAAAGTCACATCACCATCATGCAATCATCCTTACGTAGACTTCTTGGTTCGGGTAACTATAATTTTGTTATCCATAAAAAAAAAGACCTGATTTACTCCTGGTTATTTATCAATAAAGCAATTAAATTAGTTATAAAGCACTACGCTTTCGTAAAAAATTTATCATGCAACCTGTTTTAAAAAGAAAATGCATATCTGTATACATTATATCACAGATGCTGTTTTATGACGCCAATGTTGTAAGGCTATCGAGATCCAGTATCATTATTACTACAACACCCACTCCCCGATTTCATAATTAAGCCCTTCTCGTGGTGATATTGTAAGTACCTTTAGATCCTAAATTAATTGGCCTAGAAGGCTGGGTTCTCCCTTCATCTAGATCCCATATACTAAAGTATATAAGAAGGATCATTTATTTTCTTAATCGTGATGTGTAAAAATTGAACTGCCAAAGGGTAGTTATGTGCTAAACTAAATTTTCTTGGGAACTCTCCCCAAGTATGCTTATATTTCTATCAATTCAGATTTAACAAAACAGTTTCTACATTGGGACTACTATATGTATGCTCCACAATAATCTGGTGCAATCTTTACTGAAATATGAGTGTGGTTATCTTCCCTCTACAGTGATAGTTTTTTTAACCGCAATCTACAAAAGGATCTATATACATATATTATATATCAAGTCTATGTGACAACAAACAAGTTTCCATATCTAGCATACATCGTCAATGCCAAAATCATATGAACAACTTTCTGAGCTGGTTTTATGACTCCCATCTCCAAAATCATCATCTGACACTCTGCTGTTATATAGGCCATAAATTATTGGAAACAACCAAATACACGAAAAACGTAAAGGGGAAGTTAATCCCCTTATTTGCTCAACATCAATTTTTTTTTTGATTTCTCTGATGTCTACATAATACACCGAATCTAAAATTAGTTACCTAGCCAATTTGAACGGATGAACAGCAAACCGCTTGTAAACAACTATCCATTGCCGTCTGAATAAATGGTCGTCTGTGAGCGCTTAATCCTTTCAGTTTGAGCGAATAATTCTGTTAACACTAAATCATAACCCACGCTATCCATTTGTCCCAATTCAAAAGAGTGACCGTCTGCTTACAGGTGTCTAGTTGTTTATCATGACTATATGCTTTAGGGATTACAAAAAAAAAAAAAAAAAAAAAAAAAAAAAAAAAAAAAAAAAAAAAAAAAAAAAAAAAGATTGCTCATTGAAATAGGGAGTTTTCTTTCCTTCTGGTTTTACTTCCCGTTCGCTTTATCCTTTATCCTTAGAAAAATAGCTTTAGATAATCTCGTTTTTCGTACTAAAGCCGACTTCTTAACATTTCAGCAATCGTTGATCGTAATCATTGGTTAGTTAATTCTCTTTTATGATTCATTATGGCGGGAAAAGTAGTCGCCTTGACCGTCTAATGCAACCGAAATGCTCACGCCTTCTATTTTTTTTTTTTTTTTTTTTTTTTTTTTGGCTTGGAACAACTGCAGCTATAAAATTTCAATAAGGACAGTGACCCTTGAAAGTGGCAGTGTGTGGAAATCAACTATATGCTATTAAAATGGGTCGTTCATGTACAATTTAAGGCGGGTAAATTTTATTTATAGTAAGACTGCTCCTATTTACAAGAGTATACCATGCTTAGGAATTGGGAAAAGATGTCTCAACTTTTCTTTTCTAATTCCTGAATCTACACGACAATGTGAATTAGAACCATAATTCCAAGCTTCGCCTGTTTTTAAAAAAAATTATTATGCTTACCCAAACGTCCAACATCATATGACAAACCACCCGCCGGGGGTATTTGACAAAAGTCATAGTATTTGCGTTCATCCGTATCAGCGCTAATAAGTAGTCCAAATAAGCATAGTTAGTACAACGTATTGCCCTAAAATTCTGTTTGCTTTACCTCTTGTTATGAGCTGTATCATATGGACTGATTCTTTGAAACGATACACTAATACAATTGATAACGCGATAAAATTTGTTTTTGGCTTCAAACCCGCTTAAACAAGTTGTTGAATTGTTTTGGAACTGTTTTATTGCCTTGTTCAGCGGGATGATACAGTGACTAACGGAGTTCATACAAATCAGCTTCAAATGATACAGGTTATTTTTCATTTGTGGTTGGTAGCTGATTGTATGAAAGCACCGTTACTGGAAAACATATCCTCATTATAACTAGAGGCTTGATGAGTTTGTATTTTTCCGTACCACTGGTAACAAATTTTGTTGAACCGTATTGGATGTTTCGTTTAGCGGGATTGCCAGTTACTATTGAATTGAGTAAATCATATCGTTTTTATATTTCATTGGTAGTTTACCTTTGCTTTGTAACTTGTGGCATCAGACATGACTATATGAAGACAGACCATGATTCAAACTGGATGATAAATTATATTTGTCATCTTCAATAATATCACCGCTACAAAATAGGATTTTTTCTCTTTTTGGACCGTGTTTGTATATGGGTCAAATAAAGAACCCAGTTTCTATTTAAACTGTAAGAAATATTAATTAAAATTCTATCTCTGTTGGTACTGATTTTACCTTAAGTTTATATCTGGGTTGTGTGAAGAATGTGTTGCATGAAAGCGTATAATTGTTATAATTATGCAGCAAATCAGAATTGCATTCTGCCATAATATTGGCCGCTGAAGAGATGTATTGAGTTTGTTTCTTCAAACTTGTTTTTTCTCTGGATCAGCGGTAGAGCTAAAGAGGTTTAAGAAGGTAAGTATACTAACGTCATAAGATATTATGTTTCGCTTTACCTTCCATATGTAGCTTGATATTTGCATTGTCTTTAATAAAGTAGAGATTGTTTTGCATTTCCCTAATTTAATGCTGCTTGATCCAGTTCAAGCCTATCTACAGCTACAGATAATTCTTCTTCGTTGGTGTTATTAGTTTCAAGACTCATTGGAGATTTTATTGAGATCTTCGCTACAATTGAGTCCGATGTTTTTAAATATAACAAGCCCATCTTTAACACATCAGTTAATTTTTAGAGAGCGGCTGAAAAATTAAAGATGGCCTAAAAAAATTAGTCAGCATAAGAATGGTCCCCGAATTACATTGATACGTACCATGTTATAAATAAGGTTACTTTCTCATCTGGTTTATATTCATTTTGTTAATTTCTTAACGTTCCCTAGTAAAAGCTAATTTTGAGACTTTTACTAAACCACAATGTGCTTGTAAGATTGACACATTGTAAGTTTATACATTTCGGCTAGTAGAAAAAAAAGACGATACTTCTACTAAACAACATCGTACTTGTGTAATATTGTACGATGACTGTTTTGAAACTCCCATTAGTTTGATTACTACGGTTTTCAATATGTAGTTATCAAGTGTCTAAATTACAAAAAAGTTTAACCTTCGAACGTTTTATAAAGATGCCATAATTATACTTACGTTTGTATTGGTATAAATTGAAGCGTTTCTCTTCATCGTTGATCTTTTTTGCTTCAACTTCAAAGATATTTAAGTGTCCATTTAGATACCTTGATTTGGATTATACCATGTTTGCTAGGTGAGTGTTCGCAGCAAGTAGCCGTGAATAACATCCAGGTCTATAGAGTAGTTGCTTATGTTGATGTTAAATGTTGACATGCTTGATGTTATTACTTGCTGTTTCACCGCTAATATCCATTGGCCCGTAATTTTGTTAAATCTTCAGAATTTAGTTGTGTTTGCGTAAAGTTGCATTGCTCCGACTTAGGCCATATCGAAAATTTGTCGTATAGCAAACATGGATGCTTATTTTAAAGATTTCCATCCTTTCGATTTTGGTTTTCGTTTAGATATTGTCGTTATGTATTTTGTTGTTATATCATTTGTTGTTGTATGATTGTTTGTTATTTTAAATTTGATTATTAGATCTTTGGTTGTTTGATGTTTGTTGATTTTTTGTTGTTATTAGTGCTGTCTTTTACAATAGTTTGTACAATTGGATGTTTCTTTTGATGTTGTAAGCTATTGCGACTGAATTGTAGCACCTTGTGCATAAGCGTTGTTTGTAGATTTCTTAGAGCGCAGCATATAGGATCTTGATCAGTTGTCATACACTGCAAATTTTGCTTGCACGTAACAAATAATAGCAAGTCTTTATCGTGTTATTCTTGATAATTGATGGATGTCGCTAAGGTGTTATTTGAATGATGATGAATAGCCTCATCCATATTTCCTTTTCCAAATGCTTAGGAAAATAAAAATACACCAAAGACGACTACCACCGGCAGCAGAAGACTCCACCAAATCTTCCCAATTGTTTTCCACCACGTTGAATCAATTCCACTCAATTTTCTTCGCCTGATTCCTTCTTCTCTACCTCATTATTGGCTTCAGTGGTTTGATTAAACCAGAAAAACTCTCACCACCAAAGGAGAAACAAAAAAAGCCGAAACTTCTTCTCAAGGTACGCCTGCCAAGACAGAAAAACCTTCTTCTTCGTCTCCATCACCAGAGACCGAACCAGAAACAGAGGGAGAACCAGAGAAAAAACTGTAGGGAATGAAGCCATCAGAAGTATCGTTAGATAATTCTGCAGGAACTGACTCCACATCTGAATCCACAGCATATTCAGTAACAGATGAACAATCATCGCTAGCATCAGAGGGAGCTTCTGTGCTAAGATCGTTGAAGTCCACTGCATCTTGCTCAACGAACTGATCGGGAACATGATCATCGTTAACTGCCTCGGGAACTGAGACAGGAGCAACACAAAACCCATTATCCACAGCATCTTCGGCCTCTACAGATTCTGTCAAACCATCCACTACTTCCAAAGACTCCTCAAAAGAGTCAATATCCATAGGTTCAGGGATAACATCATCCATTTCAGCAGCTGTAGGATACAAAAATACAACGTCAACATCCATAGTCTCTGTAGCTTGAGAAAAAGCTAACAAAGCAGCACGAAGACGAAGTTTGCCATAATAATGGCGTCGTGAAGGACGAGGTCTATACAAACCAAGTCGAGCACGAAGACGACGATGGCGCATGCCAGCTGTACTAGGACGACATACCGAGGTATGACGACCAACCCTCTCGAGAGAGGTTGCACCTGCTGGATGCAAGGTAGAAGCCGAAGCAACACCTACATCATCGCAATATGCGTTATCCCCAATAGGGAAAGAAACCGCATAAGAAGCGTTATCCTCATAAGAGGAAGAAACCGCTTGAGCTGCGTTATTCCCATAAGGGAAAGAAACCGCAGAAGGTGTGTTATCCTCATAAGAGGAAGAAACCACACGAGAAGCGTTATCCTCAGAAAGAGAAGAAACCGCTTGAGCTGCGTTATTCCCATAAGGGAAAGAAACCGCAGAAGGTGTGTTATCCTCAAAAGAGGAAGAAACCACACAAGAAGCGTTATCCTCAGAAGAGAAAGAAACCGCTTGAGCTGCGTTATTCCCATAAGGGAAAGAAACCGCAGAAGGTGCGTTATCCTCATAAGAGAAAGAAACCGCACAGCACACGTTATCCCTATAGAGGGAAGAAACCGCGTGGGGAGCCAAGTTGGTCTGTTTTCTTGGTCGGTTGACGACCGAAGACACTGGAGCAACGAAAACATTGTTTTCTTGCATCCAGGCACGAGTAATGGCCTCACAGGCATATGCCCAAGAAGGAACAGAACTACGTGGAACAGAACCATACTCACTGGGAGGTGAAGGCACATAGTTACGGCCAGCACAAGGACCACCGACAAGGCAAGCACACCAGAGAGCAAGGCAACGGAACTCCTTTTCTACGCGTGGTGGAGAAGCGAGATAATCTCGACTTGGTCCAACCTCACGGAGAGAACCGAACATTGTTTGTGGTTGTGTGGGAGCAATAGGCTCCAAAGAAACAACAGGAAAGTTGTTAATGGTGGTGGTGGTGGAAATGAGGGGAGGCACGAAGGCATTGGGGATTTCTCCGACAATGTCATGGTCAATGGGCAAACGTTGGCCTGTACCCCTAAGCCAGAAAAACGAGAAGAAGTTATCAAGCTTTTCCAACAGTAAAGACACAACCACTTTAACAATAAAGCAAAACATAGCACAAAGGAATCTATTTGTTTAATTGGTACATTAGAAATGTGCAAACATCTTTACTTGAAAATACTCTTTCGTACTTACACGTCAACGAAAAGCAGCTGAATCATTTTCCAATAATAGTTTCGCAAAGAAAAAAAAGAAAAAAATACGCTTTTGAAAAAATAATAAGTATTTTTTTTTTTGCTGCGGGGGAAAGAGTGACGTAAGTCGTCTAAGCCACATTGTGACATAGCTTTAGTGTGATTCTCCTAGTTCGGTAATATTTGCCTCTGCTAAAAGAAGGAAGATCTATATTCTTTTAATTCAAAAAGAGGGACACTAATCATATGCATTAAAGGGCGTAAAAGACTTACTTCATGAAATATTATGTGCTTCATATATGCTATTCTTTGGAAAACGTATGATGTTCCTAAAAAGGCCACCAAAAACACGATATTTTTAATTCAAGCCATTGAAATAGAAGTAGGAAGATTCTCGAAGATACAATGAGATGCTCGATCTATAATTGACAATACGCCTATTGTATATTTGACAGGTTGTGAAAATCGGTGTAGATTTATAAAAATAAAAACAAGAAAATTATCAAACTTGCAAAAATTAACTAAGGCTTTATTAAACAAATAAAAAGGGGTCTTTATATACACATTATTTCAGACATTGATCACAGATGGGCTGATGACAGTCGTGGGTAGATTCATCCAGATAATACTCGGATGTAATGATCCCATATAGAAAGACCATAATGAGATGTCAATAACAATAACAATAACATTCACTCTTAAACTGTGTATGTCTTGTAGCACAATATTCAAGGGAAATTATAGTTCTTAATTCAGATAGCTGTGGCACCTCAATGTGGCTGATGTAACCTTCATATGTGTTCATATCAATGTTATTATTTAAATGTATGTCTTATACTTGTATGAAGGATGATATGAGATCAAGCCTGTACATAAAGTAAATGATCAGTATTTAATATAACAGTATCAAATAAGAATTATATTTAGGATTATCAAATGGAAGATTTAAGAAGTGTAGATAGAGTCATATATTAAGTATATAGCCTCGATCACGACACAGGTTTCACTCTAATGATTGATATTCAGCTAGGCCTGAATATGCATATAAAAAACCCAATTTATTTTATAATAAAGACTATAGTTTATTTCTGCCGTTTGGTAATCTTACTTCGCCAAATTTCTCATTTTTATTCTGGATTCGTTATATTATCTGTCATGAACTTACTCGCCCTGTTTACTGTGTGCAAAACTTAACCATAATCGCAAATCCCTTGTGAAACTTTGTCCTAGAAATTAATATCAGAATATCTTGTCCGCCACCAAACTCCCTGTAAACCTTGTACCAAAAATCATATCAGTATATCTTGGCCGCTACCAAACTCCCTGTAAAACCTTGTACCAAAAATCATATCAGTATATCTTGCCCGCCACCGAACTCCTTGTAAAACATATCATTAATCTGTCTCTCAATATTACTCCCGCTTCCTGTCTGTCTCAACCCTAGTAAACGTTTCCCGAACATCTATTACTTTTATTCCTAATCCAGTTTTCCCGCCCGTGTCAAACCATAAGTATTCCCCGAACCATCATTTTATTTAATGTCAACTAAATACAGCCTGTTACTACTCGTCAAATCGCAATTACTCATCCTTGTTGATAATCTACTCGCCATATCTGTTCCGTAAAATCCATTGTTAATCTATAGTTTAAACCCATCGTAGTTTTTCTCATGTATAAGAAATAGTATAAATAGGTGCTAGTTATTTATTAGAAAAACCTTATTCTGGATCTTAGTCCTAACCCCCTTCCTCTCTTGCTAAATAGAACATATTCATTATAACTAGTGTTCGGAATGAAGATCGAAACTCTCGAGCGAGCTTCGATCGTGTTCCAGTCGAAGCTCGCTCGGATGCGTTTTTTTGCAGCTCGTGCTCGCTCGAAGTTTCTTAAGCTCGGCTCGGTTGCGAATACGATAGCTCGAACTCGCTCGCCCTTTTTATTACACAAAGTGCACGTCAAAGTGATGTTAATTACAGAAAATTATGATTGTAATAAATCAAGGGTAGTTTGATTTATAAAAAAGAAATAAAAAAACAAAAGAATACTTTTAAAACTCTTTTATTCAAAGTTAATATAAGTACGATCTCTTCATAATTGGGAAAAATATCAAAGGTATTTATACTAAATAATTGTATGATAAGGATAGCTATCATATTGGTTAAGAACATTATCTGTAGATATTGATTATTAGTGTTATGTCAAAGATAGTGGACCTGATTGATAGAGCTGATCTGGTTCCACCATATCCGTATCTACTATGGATATTTGTAATTGTGTAACCTAATTTCCTAATCCACTACATTATCCCCCACCAGAGTTGATCAATGATCGACACGGCATTTTAATTTTTACGAGTTCTTTTACTACGTCTTAACTCTTCGGGCAATAGCTTATTTACGCTCGACACTTTTCGCTTACTTTGTTCAAGTGGTTTGGCTCTTAATTTATTTATCGAACGAGCGTTCTTCATATTGGGAACTTTCCCATTGGTTATTTCCTTAACCTTTTTCTCCTTTGTTAATTTTCTTACTTTA